AGCAATTTTTCTAGCTCTTCAAATCTATCACTAAAGAATTTAATAATGAGAGGAAAGGAAGGACACAAAAATAGACTTTGAGAAAGAAAATGTCGTGATTTTTAGTGTCCTAGAAATTCAGTGAAGCACAAGTTGAGATGTCAATCTTTCATAGCAAATGATATGCCATACAATTTTTCCGGATATTTACGAATGCTTTGATAAAAATTCAGACAAATAATCCAAGAATTCACAGTAACTGTGAAGAGAAGAAAATAAAAAAAGAATCCTTCAAAAATAATTACGGACACGAATGACAAACGCATAGAAAAAAGTATGATATGTAGAGTATTTAGTACTTCAAGGTTGTCTAATTCATAAATATTTATTTCTACTAGCTAAAATAAATTACAAAATTGGAATCTTGAGCCAATTCGATGCTAACTTCAGTTAAATAAAAAGCAGTTCTTCCTACGACAACAACACCTAATTAAGATGAGTTTTCAGATTGTGATCTTGTTTATTTTAAACAAAACAGCAACGAAAAAAAAAGGAAACGAATGAGAAATCAAAATTCCTTTTGAAGCCATATCTTCAAACATTATTCGTTTGAACTACTAATGATTTACATGTCGGATCTCTGTTTTGCTTCACCTATAAACTTATGGATTTTGCAGCATGCAAAAAGCGAAGCAAACTCTTTACTACTTGCATTCCAATAGGGAATAAAAACAAATTTGAACTCTTAAAAATTAATAAACATGACTTCTGGTTCCTTTCGGTTTTCTCTTTTTTCATTTTCTTGCTAACAACAAAATCCTTTTCTATTCTTCTAGAAAAGCTAATGCATAACAAGGGAAAAATCAAATTTGAAACCTAAATTAAATTTGAAATCTAAAGTTTATTTTAAACGAAGCTTTTCTTCCAATAGCTTGCAAGCTGTTGACGAAGTGAATATTTTGAGACAATTTTTGGTTGTTTCATTTCATATTACTGTTAGCAGACACTTACTTATCGATGAGAGGACGAAAAGATGAGATATGAAAACAGAAAGTAAAATTTTACTCTCACTCAATCAAATTTATGGTCTTTAATTATTTTGTAATAATTACAATTCAGTTACTGCTCACCACAGTCAAAAATACGGAAAACAATAATTACTTTAATTAATAGAAGGTGCTAATAATCAAATTTAGGAATTGATTTTCTTGGTTAAAAGCAAAGCCTAACCGAATTCCATTACAATTCACCTACTGCTTTTCATTGTCATAAGTTAAGGTGAATTTGTCCTTAATGCATTCCTTATCGAATAACGTTCCGTTCGCAAGTCAAAAATACATCAAAAAGCAAATTGTTTAAACAGGAACGAACAAAAAAAAAAAAGGAAAAAAAAATTCTTCAACAATAAAATTAAAATTTGGAATTAGTTTTTATCTTCGGAACTGCAATTAAGATTTAAATTCTTCGGATCACCACGAACCCATTAGCAATCATCAGATACATGGGGAGGTCATTGCTTTACTTGCTGTTTGCCATACCAACCACATAACGGTCACATCTTTACCGTCTCTTCGTTTATGAATACCGCCTTTTAATTACGACTTGTACGTCAACAATTAAATTCAAAAAATGCAATTTTCCGACTGTTTATGTCCTTTTCAATTACTATTAACTCTTTTCTTTTTTGACTATTAACTCTTCTGTCATTTAAATTTCACTGCTAACGAATTCTTCGCGAAGTTAAGCATTTAAAAAATAATTTTTATTTAGTCGCTAAAATATAGAGCAAGCAGAAAAATACAGAATGTATAATATTTCTAAGGTGTAAATTTCGGAAAAGCTTGAAAAGAAATTATTTTTAAGGAAAGATCCATAACACGATTGCTTCATAAAATACCATACGTGAAGTTATTTTTTATAGCAATTTTACATATACTCCTAATGTACTAAAATCAGATATCAGAAAATTTGGTCTGAAAAAAAAACTTTTACAGTAATGGAAAACCCGTTAAAAGTTTTTCCTGGGATAGTAATAGTAACAATAAGTAACAATGAAATAATAATAATAAATAATAATAATAATAATAATAATAATAATAATGATAGTAATAATAATAAAAAATAATAATAATAATAATAATGATTAATAACAGTAACAATAATAATTTTACTATTACTTTTTGTATAAAATTGGATACGATAGCTCTAGTTTTACATATGGCGGCCGCTTGCCAACTTGTTTTTAATCATTCTTACGCAAATGGCGAGTGAATTAATTTTAAGTAGAATCAAATAAATAAATCGCTTTATTGCTTTGCTATTACCACAATAACACTTTTTAAAGAAAGTGAATACTTAGTTCACAAGCGAATTTCTTCCCTCACTCAACTGTTAAGCTAAAATTTGGTAGAGAATGCAATTTTCTAAAATTACGAAGCTGAGAATGAAAGAGACATAGGATGGATGAATCACTAGTATGATAAACGATGGGATATGACTGATAAGGTAGTTGAGCTAGTCCTTTCATGAAATGGATATACAGAGGAATGATATCTAAGGCACATATCAAGCCATGTGTAATATTATAACAGTTTTATATGTCTAATAGACAACATTTTGAGTAATGGATTCCAAAAACGCCCAACAACAGATAATCATTATGCGATGCCAAGGCGATAGTGCTTTTGATAAGGAAGAAAAAGGAATGAAAAACTTGAAATGCTGACTATGAACAATAAATGAAGGAGGAAATTGTACTAGTAATAGTTTCAAAATGACAGAAGAGGTGAAAGGGACAAAGAGCGGAAGAATGAGACGACGCAAGAGAAATGGCACTTTCCATCCATCCGCCTAATGTGTGTCAGCTAAGTGTCAAAAAATGCAACCGCAAATTAAGTTGGTCTTTGCACTGTGTTATTGACAACTAGCATTAAGATGTGCGGAGAATGACAATAGCTTTATTGAAATTACAACTCAGACCAATATTGTTAACGGAACAATTTGAGAATATCTCTCAGACCAGATCAGATCAGATCAATTTTGCTTTGCTTCGGAACGAAATCTTAGTATAGTTAACTTTACTTTCGAGAAAATATTTGAGATAGCACAACAAAATGTCTTTTTTTTTTTATTTTAAATTTAGCATTAGTCGAATTTTCTTGAAAAGTAAGGGGTTATATATGCTTACACTTTTCGGCTTTTAGAGGCATAAGTCTATTGGTCACTAATGCTAAATGGACATTCCGATTACTTAGTGACATGAGAATAGCTTGACAACAAGGAAATGGTTGTGCATTCTTTTCAACAACAAAATGAAATTTATTCTGCTCGTCAAAAATTTTAAAAGCTAGAAAAACAATAATATTGTTGCAGTGACTAAGCTATAAGTTGAACGCTTCTATGCTACAGGCTAACAAATAAATGAAGGAGAAGACATCAGGAAGTTACGTACTAAAAGCACGAGTTGATTTAAACGAAATAAGCAAAAAGCAAAATGTGGCAAAATTTTGTAAGAAGTATCAGATGACTCAAATCTGTCATCTGCATAGGTTAAAATTTGCTTTTGTTTTTGGTTTACTTTAATTGGAGGACCAATGTACAAAGTAAATAAGTGAAAATCTAAATATTAAACAGAATGAAAACGAGATTTTCGAGCAGAAAAAAGCGTCCTGCTCACAATTATTAATTGTTATCTATTATAATTTATTCATATCAAAAATAATTTATTGATGCCTAATTCATTCATTGTTGTCCAGTATGAGTAATAATCCTTTAAACAGCAGTCACGTTTTACTCAATGTGTATAGTAATATTTAGATTTATTCCGAATGATTCTTTCCGTTCGATGATCAACTAATTCTTAACGAAAAAATATAACGGAAGAAATACTTAAGTCGTTGTAAGATTGCCTATGCATGTTTTCGGTCACTTATTTGTTTTCTACGATTCGTATCAAATGTCGCAAATGAAAAGCAAATCTGTTTCAGATCTTCCCGTTTTGTTATGCAATATTAAGTAAGCATTAAAGTAAATGAATAACATTATATCATGGCAGTTATAAGGATGAAATTAACGCAATTCCAATTTATTATTCCACAATACCTTCTTGTTAGAATGTTAAGAATGCAAAAAGGAAAAAGGAAAGAATGGATGAAAGTTGAATGCTTAAATTTATGCGTCATACCTCTTTGTGATCTTTTTTACTTCCCGCACTCCATTTCCTTTCTTTGTTTGCCATTTTCTCATAATCGGACGAGGTCACCTCATAAATGTCCTTTTACCAATCAGAAATTCATTCACTCATTTTTTTTCAATGAAAAGAGCAAACGAATAAAAGTTTTTTGCGATTAAAAAGGACTCACACTCACACTGGTTGTATCATTCATGTAAAGCAGAAGGAGTAAGATTGTAACACAGCTTTGGGTGCATTGCTTCCTGTTAATTTTCATTTGCATGTAAAAATGACCTTCCAGTTTTTGATTGCATTTGTATTCCGAAAAATGATTGCAAGGAGAAATATAGTATATTCATCTTTTTTTATTGATTAGGAAGGGAATTTTTCGTTAACTTTTTTCTCTTTTTTTCATCGATGCAAAAGTGATAAAAGTTTTTGTAAATTAATGTTAGTTCCTTTTCCATAAATACAACTTCTTACTAAAGCTGTAAATTTTCTCAATTTTAGAAATTTTAAGTTTAAAGTAATTTCATGTTTCATGAGAAAAAAATCATAATCACCAAGCATTTCTGTTCTTATTGATTACCTATGGTTTTTTGCTTGTGACATGTCATGAAGATATCTTCGAAACTGACAGTATAAAATTGAAATAAAAGATCAATTTATTGACACGAAATATTCTATCTAGCAGATGAATGCTATATAGCAAAATCATAGAAACAAGTATTTCAGATTTTAGTAATGTGCAAGTATGCTGGTATTAAGCAAAACTTGAATCACTTATCATATTCTTACTTTTCACAAGAAATACTTAGCACACGGATATACTACAGTCACAACACTCATATCAAGGATATATTTTACTATAAATGATACTTGTGTGCTCAGTCAGCTCATGATGAGTTATTGTATTGATAGATAGACGAGCTTCTAGATGTGCAGCGTCCAGTAGTGTCCAGCTTCTCAACATCTATAATGTTAACATGACACAACCATGATTAAAGCCATGAGCTGTCCATTTTTTAATAAAGTTAAATTCCGAATGAGAAATTTCTTTCTCTTTTGAAAATTTTACAACAATGAATGACCTTAAGGACTGGAAGATCATGACTGAAATTAATTCTTGCAATTTGTTGCATACGTAATTCAATGGAAAGACCACGTTCTTCTCCTTCTTCAATGGTGATAAAACCTGAACACAAATGAAGTGTTGTAGTAGCATCATAATAAGATAAAATTAAAATTGAATATGCAGAAAAATTAGTATTAAATTGTAGAATAAGAGAAAAAAGAAAGGAAAACAGTACCTACCGTTGCTCATAATCGTATTTAGTGAAATCAAACTACTACCGTTGTCAGTAACAACCGATAAAAAACCGTATTCACTGTGTATTTCCTTCCCGTCCCAGCTATCCCATGCTGTCGCGCTATAAATTAATATCAGTTTCTTTAGAAAAAAACTTACTTTATTTTGATGTTTTTGTTATAGGTTTTAATTTTTTTTTTGGGGGGGAGGAGAAGGGAGTGCGGCATAGTGTCCTTCTTTTTAATTTTTCGTTAGTTCTTCTTTTTTTAGGATTTTCATTATTGATTAGGTTTGAAAATTTAAATTTTAATAGTGCAAGTTAAATTTAGAGTTTTGCTCAGCTCAATTCTCCATTTTAACCTTAGAATTCACTGCCTGAAAAAAAAAAGCAATGAATTATAAAACATCTGATAGCTATTGAAAAAATAAGATTTGGTGAACAGCAAAATGCTCCGGATATAGTTCAGAATCAAAAAGCACCAATAAATGAGAAAATCATATACGCATAATTAAGAGCATCAAAGACGTATCCGCTATTGGTAATTAATTTAAAATCAATCTCTTCTCCATAGGTGACTTTCGGAATTGTTGGGAAAACTGCTTTACCGCCAAATTCAGAGCGCCATTTACCGATCAGAAATGCTACTTTTTTAAGAGTCGTTGGTACTTTTTTCAAATCATATTCTGAAAATTTTCAAACAAAATAACTTACAAGAAAATTTACGCTCTTTTATTCACTTTGCAATTAAAATTATAAGAAAATATTAGCACTTATTAACCCTGAAAAATACAACCTTTGGCTATTGATTCAGAACCGCAAAGCTGACAGCTCTTTTTGCAATAATTATTTGGAAACTCATTAATAAGATCGCATTTTGTACTATTTTCAACCACCCATGTAAAGCAGTTCATATCAGAATCTGAGCAGTCTGTTGAAGGACCTGAAAAAAGGATGACGATTACTGGCTTTTGGGTGACTTACAAGAAGTTTGCTAATGTACCAATAACATTCATTATTGGTACATCAGCGCAGTGGTCTCACATGAAAATGGAAAGTTCGCCAGAATCAAAATATATATAATATGAACTCGAAATTAGAATTCGTTAAAATTGTTTTGATTTTAGACCTAAAACAGGCATGGTGATTGGTGTGTCGGTTAAAAATTATAATATAATTGTCATTAATCAATGAATGCACAGTGAAAAGTTTGAAAAACTATATAGAAATATTTCATTGATCAGAAAAATCAATTAAAATATATAGATGGAAAATGAAATAAAATAAAATGAAAAATATTATTGAAAGTAGTAGCACCTTTTGTCTAAAATGGAACTTAAAATTTTGGATCAAAACAACTTAGTCTTGAAGTATTGGTCGTTATTCGTTCTCTCCAAAAATCATATGTAAGAACGCCTTATATTTGCTTGTAAAATGCTATATCTTTATTTCCATTTCAATTCATTTTCGTTCAAAATATTTTAGCATACTTTATCACTTTAAAATTTGATCTCATTTATATATTGTAGTCCAACCCTGTTAAGTCTTGCTACAACTTTATTATCTGCTGCCTTAATGAACGGTGTTAGCTTAAAAAAGCGAATTCGATGTCATATATTTTATTTCGAACTTACTAGATTTAGCAGCATCCAACGCAAAGGTCATTCTGTTCAGATGAAAAGTAAACAAATCTGGAACTGAATTGAGGTACAGTAAAATGGGAAGCAATAAACACAGCACTGTAAACATATGTGCCATGGAAAGTGCTGGTTCTAAATAACGTAGGTCTATCAATTATATCAAAAAACATCATTGTAAATGTGGACCATCACTTGTTCCAAAAAATAGGATGTGCAATAATTCAATCGGTTCATCATCTTTCATCTGATTTTCTAATTTCTTCTCCAATTTAGAATTTATTTCTTCCTTTCTAATTTAGATTTTCTTTCATAAAAATTACCAAGAAATTTTTTAAAATAAATCGATGAATCAACCCAATCCATTCAAACAAACTAACTGTATCCTACTCCATACTTCCCCAAATTCCACTCTTTTTATGCAAAAAATATTGAACTTAAGCCACGATTCACTCCCACTTATTTATATTAAGCCAGCAATGAAATATGCCAGCCATCCGACAAGAATCTGTCTCCAGTGAAATTTTAAAACCTCTATTTGCAACTTTCCTTGCAACTTCTAAAAAATCGATATATTGGAGATGATGTAATTTCAGGCACATAAGAATGACCTTGACGATGAAATTAGCCCAATGATTATTTGATTAATGAGACTGGGCTGTGCTGTTTAATCAAATTAAACATGTCATTCATTAATTTTTGCCATTTCTGGATCTCTGTCACATGTATAAGAATATCGTCTAAATATCATTTTTGGTGACCAGCAATTCGATATCACACTTTCAGAATACTTGCGCATTAACACGGTAAAACAGATGAAGACAGCGGTGGCAAGCTGAATCGGTAATTCTGGAAAATCATTGAACCTCTGGAGTTCTTAATTTTGTTATACATTTACTAATTAATAAAAGGACGACAAGTAAGTAGTTGCTACTACTGCTCACAACGAGGTCCAGTACGACAGCCACAAATTCTCCTATAATATTTTTTGACAAATGTGAGTGAGGTCAAAACAGTAGAAATAAATGTTTAAATAATCATGGAGTTTTTACAATGTGCTATACTCTAAAAATTTATCATCTGTGAAACAAAAGCGGAAAGTTCAGTGAAAAACAAATGGTGTTGCAAAAACTTATGGTGAAAAAATTATAGTTATGGCTAACAGCCAAGAAAAGTAAAGACATAAGCAAAAAATATTAATATGCATAAATTCTACGATATTTTGAAAGCAAACTAGGTTGAAAAGTAGAGAGACTCTAGACGTTTGCATAATAGTAGTGATGTTTAAGATAAAAAATTTAGCGAATTTATTTATCTTGTCTAGAAAGAAAATCCACCAAAATCCAACACGATGTTCTAAAAAGGCATGAATTAACTTTGAGCTCGACCACAAGAAGCTGCAGCATCTTTTTTTTGAAAACAAGTTCATCTGAAAATTGAAAGCGGCGTTTGAAACAGTTGAGATTCTCACTAAAATATCACTTTTCTTTTAGCATATTCGAATTTATTTTTCTGAAACATCCTGGGATCCACTGCTATCGATCTGCAATGACAGAGGAATTTATCATGACAATATGATCTAATGAAATATGAATCGCTTTTTATAGGCAATACGATTTGTTTTTGCCTTGCCAAGAAAAATAAAATAATTTGAAGCAGAAAATCAAATTATGTAAGAAACTCTTTTATAGGAAGTAATATATGGGTCTTACCTGAGACAATTCTGTTTGAGAAACACCAGGTACAGTACGTAAAGAAAGTAAGCGCCGTGAAAGACCACTAAAATTTTAGGAAAAATAATTGTAAATCATATTTTCGAATCTCAGTGAAAATCTCAGATGTTCTGATTCATCTGATATAAATGAACAATTTCATTTCCAATTCACGTAAAACATTCATGAATTATAGACCTCGTTCTTGATCCTTTGTTCAAAAAGTATTTACTACTAAATATGCTGCCCCTTGTCGCTTTAAACGGAGTTTCCATTACTGACATGACTGGTATGATACCTTCATTACCATGGCTTTCTTCATTAACACGGTCATCTTCAAGGGCTTTGCGAGGCTTTTTGACAGGTACTTCAAACGAAGCTATAAATAAACTAAATAACAGTGACTTTTTCCAAAAAAAAAAAAAAAAAAAGATAAAATATTTGAAAGATAAATTCAAAATTATACCATGATGACAGTTTTCATTTTTTTGTGACACGTTTGCTGTAGTAATAGCAAATTCTTTTAATAGACGATCACAATTCCAATTTCGACGAGCACCATTCCCACCTTTTGTAACACCAATGGAATGGACAGCTGTCAATTTATAGTCCGTTTTTGTTAAAATTTGATCGGTTTTTGAAGTTTCCATCAGTACCTTCTATAAAAAACGCATTTATATTACAAGAAACTCTTCGTATTATTTTTAAAAAAGCAAAAATGTTTATTTCATGAATTATGTCAAACTTTATGTAAATCCTTAGTCTTTTCTGACGAAACGAAGTCATCGTTGTCATCAGCTAAATTATTTGCCAAAATCTTTGAACCCATTGTCGATAAACAACTGGAAATATGTAACGGTGGCGGTCGAGGCGATTTAAGCTAAATAAAATATTATGAGCATAAAAATCGTAATTAATAAAATACGAAATATATATATTATAAAATATTATATATATATTTCGGAAACTGAGATGAATATATATTATATATATATACAGATATATTTGTTCAATTAATAGAAAATCTTCAAACTGGATAATATGCAGCTACCACAAATGCACCACACGATGATTTTTTTTTGATTTTCTCGTCGTACTTTTCCTTCCGTTGCATTTCTGCAGTTTTGTAGTTGGAACTCCAAATGGACCAATCAGGCACATTTTCAGGTAAGGTTATTTGTTCAATTTGAGAACTTCCAGGGATATTCCCCAAGGCAAAACTAAAATTGGCATTTCTTAGACGAATAAATTAGGATATAATAATATAAAATCTAGGTCTCAAGAAAGCAAACCTTGTAGCAATTTCTGGTGATTGAATACTTCCCGCGTAAGAAAAATAATTATCGCTTTCTTGGCTACTTGAATGAAACTATAAATATTAAGATTACTTCAGTATTTAAAATTTAAATCTAGTCAAAGAGTTGCACTGATACCCACTTCCCTATCATCTTCATTGCTTTGTTGATTTAACGGATATTCATTTAATGGGCGCTGACGTTTCTCAACCGGATCAAAAACAATCTGATAAAGGAATGTATTTTCGGCACGAATGAAATCGTCGATAAACTGTTTAGTCACTTTTAAGGAATTTTTGTTGAGATATCGTGGAAGGCGAGGTAGAACCTAAAAAAGATGCTGAAAAAGAACAAAAATACTTTTTCAAAAATGAAGCATTTATTAATATGTTTTCATTTACCTGGTACAAATTTCTACCATTGGTTTTTGCGAAAAAAGCTGCTGCTTTATTTAAGCCCACTCCAGGAAGACCAGCCTAAAACTGAACAATATATTTGTTAGCCAAAATCAACTTACCAAAAGAGTCTATAAATTAGTTGAAAATTTCATCAGAATCACGAAGATCTCTCTTTAATTTTTTACCCACATTTTAATATGATTATCAAATTTACAGAAAATTAAGCGAGAATTGTTACTATCGTACTATTTTCTAGGTCTTCTTTTCCTTGACTTCATTTGATCTTATAAAAGGCTTCATTTCAATAGCACATAATTGCACATTCTGCTAAAGGAAGCACAATATACGGCAGTTTTTCTGCTTGAATAGTTGAAAGACTATTCTGCATTCCAAATCTTTATCTTCTAACTTAACTGGCAAAAATTCATAAATCTTACTTGCAAGTAGTCACATCCAGAAAGAATGCAAATTCTTCGAAACTTGTCAAAATCAAAATTTTCTGCAAGTGCCCTACACAGGCATTTTGGTAATAAGCTTTGATCGAAAATAACACAAGATCCATTAGGATCCATTTTGAAAATTATCTGTAAATTTAAGTTTAGAAATTCACTAAAAAAAAGTTGTTAAAGATTTGAGTTGAACCACAAAAATCTTTAATAAAAATGAAAACCACCTAAGTCTTCAACCAGAATCAATCCCGCACTATCGCTTTTATCAAATGATGAATAAAAAAGACGACCAACTTTTTCGCAACCGAAAGCAATAAGATCAGAATCTTCAGTAACTACCGCTTGCGCCATTTTTGTTTTAGTCAGAAAAGTCAGCTGCGCATCTGACTCATAAGGAGCTACGATAACATCAACCATGTTTAG